TAAAAGGTTGTCTGCATGTACAAGAGTCTTACTTATGTGTCCTTACTTGGAGTTAGATTAGATTGAGAAGAGAGAGGGGACACAGGGGATCAGGCTGGAATCTGGAGATGATAGAAGGTTGAGTGGAGAGTGGGCAGGCAGGTGTGCTTCTGTGAGCTGAGAACTAGGAAGCAAACAGAGCAAAGGAATTACTGAGGGTAAGAACAACAGCTAGAGATTAACAACCATGGTGGAGAAAACGATCTGCAGAGAGCGACTTACACAGCCGGTCCTTAAACACTCAGCTAATGATGAGCTATGAGCTCCGGATGAATGAAAGCAACTTAAGGAAGTGTAGTTTCACCCACAGGTGGAGACATGAGGAATCTGTCCACCTCTCCACCTGACAGAAGAGAGAAAATCTGAACACAAACAAGCACTTTATGAACACAACCTGCTGATAGTGTTAGTGTAGTACAGTTTAACTACAGTGTCAGCTCATGAGTTAGCAGCTCAGCCTCCACATTGTCTCACTTATGGACAGAGTTATTGTAGTTTTGTATTTTTATTTATTTTTATTGCTGTTTAGTTTCAGTTTGTTTCCACAGTAAATTGTCTTATTTCATCTCAGTTTATATTGTTTAGTCTTTATTAGTTTCAGTATTAATTTTATTATTATTATTTATTATTATTGTGTGGAGGTCATATGTCAGAGGCAGGATTTAGAAAATCACTGCAGACATTACAATACCAACACAGAACCTTCTGAAAGCAGCCGACTCACAGTGTTGTAGACATTCAGAGACTCAGCATCAAAGCCTCATCAGACACACTGTAATAAGATTTTTACCAAACTAACAGAACAAAACTAAGAATATTCCCTCTGTACCTTTTATTACAAGTTAGTTGGTTTTCTAAGTTCACAAACTCATTTCATTTACTTTATGTTCTGACTCTGCATTTAATGGTCACAGGACAACAGACTCTGGACAGGTCACTGACCTGTCACATGGCTCTTTGACAGAGTGGAACGAAGCCACAGTACAGAACACAAAACTCTGACTGGATCCTTGTTGTTGAGAGGGAACCATAATAATCACTGCACCATCCTGAACACAGTAAATCCTAAGATGCTGTTTTACATAGTTAAACCAATAAACTCTTTATTAATATTTGGAGAAAGTTCAAACAAAAGGTTTCACTGCACATCAACACTGCAGTAAACCTGTGAGAGGCTCAGACTTCACCTGTGTGGGACTAAAGTAAATGTTAAAGTAAATGAATGTAAACACTGCATGAAAAGGATCTGGGTGGGGATCCTGATCCTTCTGTGCTGCACAGATGGTGAACTTAATAACTTTCACACACAAAGCTGCTGAGTGACACACAAAACTGACCGAACAGGTGCAAACAAAACCTGAGTAAACACTGAGACTAACTACCTAACAAACCAACTAAACAACTTCAACTGTATTTTACTGCATTCAGCACCTCTGTAACGGTTAGAATATCAGCTCCAAAGTATGTGCTGTGCAAAGACACCAATAATCATGTTGCTACACTGATGTTTTTATTCTTGATTTTTTACTGTGTTTGCTATTCTTTGATTATCTGCAAAATACACAAAAAGTATTAAAAGTTAAAGTAATCATGAAGAATTACTGTGATATTTTAATAGTGATGTGAACATGTAGTGTTGTGATGGTAGCTCAGTGGTTCCCAACCTGTCATGGTCCAGTGTTTTTAGTTTGGGACTTTCTATTTTTAATTTGTATTAAATATTGTTTGTGGATTCTTAGTTTGCTCTCATGTTCGATTTATTTGTTTATTTATTTGCAGGTTAAGTTTAATCATTTATAGTAACCTGTGATTTTGAAGGTCAGTTAGTTTTCTGTGTACTTTCTGTTCAGTCAGTTTGCATGTATTGATTTCCTTCTTTCAGTTCTCTCGCCCTCTTGTGTTTCCTGTGTTGTTAATTCTCAGTTTCTATGTTAGATGTTCTTTTATTTGATCACTTCCTGTTGTATTCTGACAGCCTCCTGTTCTTACATTTAGTTTTGCGTCCTCTGCCTCAGTTGTGTCACATGTGATGCTGTCTTGGCCTTTCAGAGACTGCAGATCATTGTCTTCACATTGTGATCTGTGTTGGTTTTAGCGTTCCTTGTACAGCCACATTCAGTGAGGTCGGGTAAAATGATTCAGGCCAGGCATTTGACACCATCCCAGGCCACTCTGTTCACAATGTAACAATGCAAAGAAGCTGTTCCTGTTTCAGCTCCTGTTTTAGTCTGACCTGATTTCTAACTGGCTCTTACCTCTTTTCAGTCCCTATCTCCCCATCTTTCTTACTTTATATGTTCAAACTGGTTCATCCTGTCTGCCTTGGCAAAGAGAGAGGGAGACACCAAAAGTGTGCAGTCAGAGTGGTCCATGAGCTGCTTGTTGATTGAGCTGACTGTCCATAACGACCTTTTGGCCTCAGGCAGGTACTCCTGATTGGTCAGTCCACTCCTGGTCCTGTGTTAACAGGGTAACAGGTCACATCCTAACCCCCAAGAAAGAAACTAGTGCTCACAGAAATTAGGTGAAGGTCTTAACATTCATATTAGCTAAAAATACGCTAATCAAACTAAGACTGTAGACAGACACTGCCACATGTAGAGTATTTGTCAGTTATGTACTGACCCTTTTTCCTTCACTATGAAATTTTAGCTTGAAAAAGAACATCAGAAAGTCCAGCTTCAAAATAAAACTGAGGACCACCTCCACACCAACAACTCAAGGGGTGTATGTGATATTTAGTTCGTGATGTTCACTAACTAACAAACCACAACCCAAAGCTGTGTGTGGTGCTTTTGTGCTGTCAGATGATCAGACTGCTTCTTCGCTGCTTTGAACAAAAAACACCAGAAGGAGCTACATCCCATCTACCACCAAACATCAACCACATCTTTACAGGTTTTTGACCTGGTGTTTTTCAGTTTGAGTTCAAATTTTTACTAAATATTCTCCAACCTTTAGTTTGGTTTTTATGTATTTTAGAGCTTTTGTTTTATTTCTTTTGTATGCTTATTTTTGTTATTTGTGGTTTTGAGTTCGGTTTTCATTTAAGGCAACTGGCAAGAGTGAAACATTTTCTTTCCAGGCAGCACCTTGAAACAGTGATCCATGTTTTTATTTCTTCCCGTCTGGACTACTGTGACTCACTTTATGTGGGGGTCAGTCAGTCGTTGCTGTCTGCAGCTGGTTCAAAATGCTGCTGCATGACTCCCAACATCCATCCATTCGCTTCCGCTTATCCTTTTCAGGGTCGCGTGGAGCGCTGGAGCTGGTTGTTTTAAAGTGCCTTATAAATAAAGGTGATGATGATGATCAGTTAATTTTGCTTTGTAGTTTCTGTTCTTGGTTATAGTTTGGTGTTCCCTTCTCCTGCCTCCTGTTCTCCGTTTCCATGTTAGGAGTCTTGTTGTTTTGCTTCCTGTTTTATTTTGGGAACTTCCTGTTCTTTGTATCTGCCTCATTTGTACCATCTGTTCATAATGTCTTTACCAAATACTTTGGAATTTTATATTTCTTCTAAAAAGATAAATCCATGCATTCTTTTTCACTTATCCAAATCAGGGTCACTGAAGCCTATCCCAGCTGCGAGAGGCAGGGTACACGCTGAACAGGTCACCAGTCTAACACAGAGACAGACAACCATTTGCACTCACACTCATGGACAATTTAGACTCCAATTAACCTAACCCCACTAACTGCATGTCTCCACACAGAAAGGCTAGATGGTAGAGTTGTTTGAATTCAGCTCTCTGTAGATATATCAATTTAATTTCCATCCAACTATGTAGCATCCTTTTGTTGGTAACATATTACCCAGTTCCTATCAGTGTAGATATCCAGCACGATTTGTTTCCCATTAAGATCTGATGTGCCTTTACGTTTTTAAGCTGTATATTTACTACAACTGAAAACCGCGGTGACTGGCTTGGCGACTGACGAATGAATCAAATCAGAAAACTTAGAATTCATCTTGTCACATCATCAGTAAACAATAATGACCCAGTTTTCACAAAGCCATACAATAATACTGCCTCCACTTTGACAGATGATGTGATGTGCTTCAAATAATAAGTCTTGTCTCTCCTTTATACTTTTCTCTTCCCATTATTCAGATAAAAGTTCAACTTGGTTTCTTCTGATACTTTTTCTGATCTCGGCAGGATCTTTTTTAGGTGTTTTCAGCAAAGTCTAACCTGCCCCTCTCCTTGAGTCTTCCCATGGTGGTTATACACACACACACATGATATTTTACTCCGAGATCCTTGAACAGTGTGACAACTAATAATGTATTAGGACATGAAGAATTAAAAGCATGAACATGATTTTCAATATCAAACATCAACAACATTCAATGGAGTGTGTGTATCCTGATTCACATTTATTTACAGCAGACCAGCTCAAGGTTATAGTTAATGTACGTTTAGGGTTAGAAAACAAAAAAACGTTTCTCTTGTTTGGAGCATTCTAAAAAGAATTAACTTGAGACAGTTGTTTGACAAACCTGCTGTTATCAGACAAATTTCTTTTTAAATATTATTTAGATATTTACTGAAATATGAGTGCAGCTGGAAACACAAATCCATCCAGAGTATTGATTGTGCGGGCAAATCAAACATGCGGCGCTACCTGCTGTGTGAACGGAGCAGCTAAAAGTAGTTTTCTTTATTAGTAACATGTTATGCACCAAGAGCAGGTGGAGCCATTTCTCTACTCCGTCCTATTAAACTGCTGCAGAAGAGGAAAGCACAGGAGGATGACCTCTGATCTCTCATGGAATAAATACAACAGTTTATTTCATGAAGAAAGCATTGATGCACTGCATCTGTTTTCATTCAAATAGAAAAAAAAAATCCCCAAATGCCCTGTTTGAATGTTGAAAAAAATGCCATTAGACAGGCAGCTAGTTAGTATAGTGGTAAGACTACGAATCTCTGGATACCGGGTGGGTATCCTGACTGGTATCCAGTCAGGGCCCTGGCATCCCCCATGCTAAAAACCAGCCCTGGAATGGCGCAGCTACGTCTGCAGTTCAGGACACAAGCATTTCACTATATGTTGTACTGTGAATGTGACAAAATTTGTTCTTGAACGGGGTTTGTGTATCAAGTATTGAGCACTATGAGTCATTTAAACTTTTATTTTTATATAAAAATATGGGGTGATTAGGATGAAAGTATAACAAAAATGGCTACATCCCTCCATCCTGACATTTAACCATGTGCTAAACCACAGGATTAAAATCTGTTCAGAACTTTTAAACTGCTGAAAATACCAAAAATAATCCAACATGTCGTCACTGTTCTGCTCAAAAGCTTAACTTGGTTCTCATAAAACAAACACATAAGCTACACACACACCATACTTCACACTTTGATCAGTGTAGATTTTCTCTTTCTCGAAGGGTGGATTCTGTTTCTTCTGGTCTTTCTGCAGATTGGAAAACAAAACTGTGTTAAAAAGTCATAACTGAGCAGAAATGTAGTGCTGTGAATCTAAGTAATGGAGTGCACAATGACACATGAGTAAGTTTGAATTATACTCGTTGCCAATGTAACATAACTACAGCGGGAAAATTCACCCAATTTTATTATGATTACAGACAAAATGCTAAACTGTCTTTATGAATAAATCGTGATGTTTGCTGTTTAAGCATCTTCATCAGCCTCTACAGTGTGTTCCTCCTCTTTCCTCACAGTAAGCTTTAGTTCATTTCAGTTTGTTTCATTAGTATATTAAAAATAAAGTGAAATAAACAATATTGTAAACATGAGTCACACAAAAATATGAGAATGTTCATAAATACATTAAACTTACTTTTTTTATTCTTGAAGCAACACCACCAGACAAGAATCCCAACTACAACAAGAACAACAACAAGAACAACAGCAAGAACAGCAAGAACAGCAACAGCTACACTCTTCCATCCAGTCTTTGGTTCTGGAACTGAAGAGAAAACATTGGTGTAGGTCAGACTGTGACTGCATGTCAGGAACAGACAGCAGGTTTAAACAGCGAGCTCAGTGATGTCAGCATGGATCCAACTTCCTGTTTTCTCCTGCTCGTCTCCACAGCTCACAGGCTGGCTCTGGTTCTGCTCTCAGCTGTAAAGATGATGTTGGAGTTTTGTCTTGTATGAAAGATGTTTGAATCTGTGCTGCTGCTCACAGACTCCTGCTTTCTTTTTACTGAGCCTCACATCTGAAAACATGTGTGAGTCTGTGTGTAATCGAGGTTTCCTCCACCCTGAGCTTCTTAAATACACACATCATTAAAGTGAATCTCTTCAGACTGATGATTCCAGAAAACAAGGAATACAAATCTGTCAGTGTAATGACCGCCTGCTGCACTGCCAACAAATGACTCTCTGCACTGGAGGATTTTGGACTGTTAGGATCTATTTTTTATGCAAAATCGTTTTCTTGTTTTTATGTTATATTTAATCATCTGACATGAATATTACATTCAGAAATACTGAGCATTAAGATGATTTCTACTATTTTATTCTTTTTTTTTAATGATACGAATGCATACAGTATGAATACATGTGGATTGTCATGCATGCCCCTGCAAGGGCGACTGTAGATACATAATTATGCATTTAATTGCTATGAAAAAGTATTCACCCCTTTCTGATTTCCATGTTTACTTTAACCATATTTCTTAAAGCTCAGTTCCTTTTCACTAAAAACACTTAGGCCTGATTAGATTATTGCCAGACCTGCTGAATCAAGAAATCACCTACACAGAACCTATCTGACAAAGTGGGCTAAAAGTTCTCAAAAACCACCACGTCATGCTATAATCTACAGAAACCACTGAAAAACAAAGTCACTGTCACCTATTAGTCTGGAAAGGGTACAAAACCACGGATAAGGCTTTGTGACTACAGCGAACCACAGTGGTGATGGTGGCCGACCAAATTACTTTTAGATGCTAGAGCATCGATGACTCATCCAGGAGGTCACAGAAGAACCCAGAACAAATTCTTCAGAATCAAAGGCCTCACTTGCCGTAGTTATTCAACAATAAGAATGAGACTGGGGAAAAATGAATCCATGGGAGAGTTCCAGGGAGAAAACAACTATTGAGCGAAATGAACACAAAGCCTTTTGTCACATTTGCCAAAAAATATCTTTACTTGCAATTCAATGGACTCATCCAGATTATTCTTCACTCACCACATGTATAGAAAAGAGCTCAATTACACTGTGACCTCAGTGAAAACTTGCTCATCTTTACTATAAAGTATATGATTGGGAGTTCTATTCCATTGTTGGCTCTATTGTTTAATGCATTAACATTAGTTAGAAAGTCTTCTCAGACTTCCCTCTCTTATATATATTTTTAATATTTGCTGCTGTGTTTGTATCATTAAGTTTTCTGTGGGTTGCATCAATGGTTTGGCACTTCATATGATTGGCTGGATTTAGGGACCACAACAGACGTTATTAAAATAGTTTGATGATTTGCTATCAGGAAACTCCCAGAATATAGGAAAATGACTCCTTAATGAGACGGAGCTCAGAAGTGTAATGGGTGTCATCTCACTTTTTAGCATCTGCCCTCAAACATTTGCTACAGCACATAAAAAATAAGGAATATAATCACACTGTGCATCATATATGTAACACTGATAACTGCTCATAATGACACCTGTAAGAGGTCTTGTATACAAACACAAACTAACTCATTTATGAGTTGAATTCAGACTAAAGTTACTTTTTGCTTCAGCTCCAGTGAATCTGTCTGCTGGAGTGTTTTATCACACACCTCTACTTTTTTCACCTGAGAAACATTTTCCAGACATCTGTCTTTATGATTTCATTAGTTAATATTTAGCTTCTTTGCAGACATCATTCTGTGTATTCAGTCTGAGCACATTTCACATTTTTGAAAAACAACAATTACTTAAAACATTTTAAGATTAAAATTTCACTCACCATTCAAACGCACATTGATTTCCGTATGTGCCTGATGCCAGATTTCCTTCTGTGTGGCGACACAGTGATAGCGGTCGGACTTTGTCACATTAGTTTTGAGGGTGATGAAGAAGCGCTCTCCTCTTTTAGAGACCTGCGGCTCCTCAGAAGGAATGGTTTGATTGTTACTGTCCCACCACTCGACTGTAGGTTTGGGGGAAGCACCTTTAACATCACACTTAAGGAGCGCCCAGTCATTTGTTTCATCAAGATTTGTGACAGAAGGCTCTGCAGCTCCTGTGAACACACAATAGTAATATTGTATAATTATTATTTTTTCATGTTTAGCTACTCTGAGTGCCAATGTGAGGGTACTAACTCAATACTGCCTTACAGGACAGTATTGATGTTTTAAAAAGGAATTTAATTTAAATTTAAATAAAGTTTTTACTCTAAACAACATTTTAGACTCACATGCAGACATTTATATGGAAAAAAGGTTTGGACATCTCTAAGTTTGTTTAGAGTTATACAGAAAAAGGTAGGAAAGTGCCAGCAAAATGGCAAACATATCATCAAAAATCTGGCACTGTAACCTGGATAACTACTTAAGGAGGATTTCAGTGTTATTTTTTATTGCTATAAATATGAATATAAATAACTACTTGAACAATTGTAGATGTTACAGAAAATAAAGCAAAACCCCCCTGCAATCTCCAAAACAATTCCACTAGTCTTATAAAACTTATTGCTAGAAGTTGCTGGAAATTTTAATTACATTGAGAGGGATAAGATACTTTTTGAGCATATGTATCTTAAAAGGTAGTTTTCTACTTGGATTAATAACTCAATGCAGACGATTAGGAGTGAGTAATGAGTTCACATATACACACGAGGATGCGAATATCAGTGACGTCAAAGGCAGGACTCACCTGAGATGCTTCGGACCTTTAA